CATTTGTCTTTTTAGTTCAAGAAACGAACGCTTTAAACAATAAAGTACAATGAAAAAATTCCTCCCTCCATCCATCTCGCGAGCTGGTTGAAGCAGAATGACCTCATCGTCTTCTAGCAAGAGTACTAACTGCGCTGTGGGCGGCTGAGGCTGAACGGACAACTTACGTACAGAGACATCAAGCAATCTCTCTCCTCCAAAGAAGTGGAGTCTTAGAATCACTTTTATTGCATTAGTCTCATGCAATAGTATCTACACACTGTGTGTTTGCATGGGAGAGTGAGCAGTAAAGAGCATTCTTAAGATACTCCAGTTACTGCCAAATTTAACGACATCAAGGCTACGTTCTCCAAAGCACAAGGTTTGGAATAGTTTCAGTTAAACCATTTTTGGAGTTCGGTGTTTTAAACTCCATCGAATGTATCATCCACGTTCAGTCAGTGCAGGGCTCTTGCGATTTCTCAGAAATAACCACTAGCTAAGCTTTTGCAATGGTAGAATACATACTTATTCTTAACTCTGAATAAAAACGACCTCTTTCAGTAGAAGGAGTTTTAAATAAAGAATTTTGCGAATCGTGCGACGTAGCAAGATTCTAAAGACAGGCTCGTAATAATCTTTATTTTACATGGCGCCTATCTTTTCATTCCTTGGCTGGTCTCGTATATGAGATATACCGGTTTTTAATACAAACAGTACTGAAACTGTACCTCAAAAGTAAGGCGGGAAACATTGTTCTTAAAATACTATTTTTTTACATTGAAGATTGATTTATATTATCTTCAATTTCCCAGGTTAATTGCTTAACCACTTATTTTAAATAAAATAAATTGCTGTTTGGTATATATATATTGCTCGTGGAGTTTCAGAATGATATTCTCTGGCTTGTTGGAAGTATCTGAAACTACAAAATTCTAAACAGTAGTCCAGTACTAATGAAAGCACGTGTCCACCTCTTGTTCATTATCCAGAGATAAATGTGTACAATATGTATTTACCTGTCGTTTTTGTTTCATATATGGAGCACAATTAAATATCTGTCTTGGTTTGCTTAAATATCGAAAAGCCAATTACTTTTTTTTTAAATCATGATATACTCTAAATATCGTATAGGAAAGACTGGACCTGTGTCATTATGGCATTTGTATTAAGTACCCGATATACCGTTAAGCATAAGCTTGTTCCATAATCGTTACTTATTGCGAGCTTATGTAGAGGTTTTATCATCTATCGATTACACCAAAAATAGAACTATGCACAAGCTACATTAAAAATTAATTTAATTTTAAATGCTTTGACGTTGTTGCCTAATACGCTCTGTTGTTAATGCGAAAAACAACTACAATTTAAATATTCTTTTAATAGTTATACCAGTGTCTTCTAATACAAAATAACGAAATATTGACCGGTATTCATAAAACATTTTGCTCTTACCGATACTATTGCAAAATTTATAAAGATTATAATGAAAAGTAAGATGCTCTAGAGTATAACAGTATGATTCGACTAATGAATGACGTGTTAAGTAATTTTTCACCTTTACTGCTTACAGTATGTGGCCGTCTTAGGCCTTAATGAAAAAAAAAACCCGAAGGTAACAAGGAATTGCATGATAGCATTTAATGAATGTAAGCCATTAAGACAATATTTTAATTACTCTTAATTGTGTGATGAGTGTTTGCACACGCAAGAAATAAGATTCATTGGTATAGTTAGAATTTGGCGACTGACAAGCGCAATGCAAATTTATGTGCAGATGTTTCGGGAATTTCGGATGCTTAGGCCCTTTGCGTTTTCAGGCATACAATAAAGACTCTCCTTCTCATCTGCACCATTTCTCTTCAAAGTGAAAAAGGGCTAATAACGTACCGGCTATATTATGTTAAATTAGTTATGCTTTTTTTGCTTATTTTGTGAAAAGTTACATTTCTTAACAATACTTTCCTAGCCATGAAAATTGTTTCGTTAGCAAAAATCACAAACCGTATTTCAGTGTTGACCAGCATTAGGTTTATAGCAACTAAATGTAGCGCATGCAAAATGTCGAGCATTAATAAAGCAGATACCTTTATTTCCTTTTAAGCAGCCCTGGATGTATTATACTTTTTGATGAATGTGGTAGTAGTCGTAGCGGAATCACTGGTAGTTCGACACGAGTGCTGCTCTTGGTTATTTTCTGTGGATATTTATTTTACTAGAAAAATACGCGAAACTCTGTCGCTATGGGTTTCACATTTTATATTACTGCAAAACTTTACAGGATTTCATATTATTGTAATAATTCTTCTGTATCTCGTGCGTAGCCGAAGCATTGGTATTATTAAATCACCCGAAAACCATTGAAGCCCCTTCTGTCTGTATTTTGAGATGCTTAGTAATCTAGCACGAATAACATTTAACATAGACGACCGAGGGTATCAGTTGACCTTAAAGATGACTAGTTACACTGGGGAATTTCAGTCTAGTCATCAGTAGTGGTGTCATCGGTCCTCCTTAACTCCAACCCAGCCCCCTCCTTTGTGAGAAAAGAATTCAGCACAAAGGTATTGATAATAATCTTTCCTGGAAGAAAATGTTCAGTGTAATTTGACAAAACTAACTGTTCAGATAACGAAAACGGGATAATTAAACTGTCATTCATGTAACCCTGAAATATAACATGCATCGTATCAAATGTTATATAAAGTTTCCATATATTTATAGTATAACATTCAATAAATTATTCGGAATTAAAATGGTGCAGTATTTTCCATACCAAAGTTATTTTTCTGTTTATAGAGTATTTTCTTTAAAGGTCCTCCAGAAGTTATCACGAATCTTTTTCTTTAATGGCAGAGTCTGAATTTGCTGAATTTGCTCGCACACAATGCAGTTCCAGCTGTCAGTGCTTTGAAATGATTACATATAAATGCTATATAATGTTTGCCAAGATCTATATTTACACACCATGTTGACTATGTGAGTTTAGAGCTTAGGTTAAAGCATTTTAAACTCCCTTTTATGTACCAATGTATTCCCCTTCCTATATACACCCAAAAAGTGTTGAAAACGGCACAGCAACAGGAACAATAATCTATTGAGTTAAATCAACACTGTAATGTAATTTTTCCCTAAACGTAGATCTTCCACGCCTCAAGAAATCGTTCCAGTCCTAGAAAAATAAAAATGGTTAGTGTTCGCTGATTTCAACCCAAAACTGCTATACTTATCTTAATAGGTTTATGAGTTTAGGTATCGCGTTTCCTCTGTATTGTTGTTCTCTGTGTTCTTTGCTAGCAATTCTAAATAATCCAGCATTTTATAAACACCCATACACAATATATGCGTTCATTCTCAGTGGGGTATCTAATTTAATTAGTATTGATTTTAACACCTGCAACAGGAGAAAAGTTACACAGAAGTGTTGGAACTTGTATATCTCGCTTTAAATTTCCATTTTCAGCTTCCTCGAGCAGGTGACTGATGTACTGTATATCCTCTCTGGGGTTCCTTGATTGAACTAGTAAAAGTCGTGTTCCATAAGCTTCAGGGATTGCTCCATCGAAGAAAAATTACCCCTCCCTGAACTGAGAACCTGACAACCAATTAACTTATCAATAAATTAGTAGAACCGGGCGAAAACAAAATGCAGTATAACTCGATTTTGCGCTTTTCAACAAAATAATAAGCTCTCTTAAACAACGACTGCGTTAAAGTAAACCTGTATAAAACGATTCCGCAAGTCGCACATCAGGTGAAGTTTAATACCATTTGGCTACGTTGTGGTTAATTATATCAAAACATCGTTGAAACAACCTCCAATTTTTGACGGTAATTCTGATTTTCTTTATACTGGATGCGTAACTGAAATTGATCATGTACTGGATCGTTGCTCTCTTTCCATAAATCATTTTGTATCCTATGATTTAACGTCAAAATTAACAGGTTTCGAAACATCTCAGATTCCAACAGAAACAAATGTTGCTGCCCATTTTCAATGCACAGACAAGACCCGAAAGATTTAAAGAAACCCGCGGGGCTGTCTTTATTTTTCCCTGCTTCCTCGAGCTTCGTGTGCTCGTGGGCTCACCTCTCCCGGAGCACTGAAGTGCTATCACCGCCGGAGGGTTTTACTTCGCTGATGTTAACTCTCATACCGAAACCTTCGTTCTCCTGAGCGGGTTTCTTGGCCGGTGAATGAGGACTTCTGAATTGAAGCAAAGTGATCCTTATGTCCTAATATCAAACATAGTCACAATACGGTCAATCATTTACGCAACCACTTTACCAGGAGATATTTAGGGTTTTTTTTCCTCCACAGTCGCAAGTGCACTTTTGCATTTCTAAGTACGATCAAGCATAATGCAAACACGGTTTACAAGTGCAATCACTGGATGGCTCTCAGATCCATTAAAAGTCAGGGGTTCAACCGAAGCTTTTGAAATTGTTTCCAGTATTAAGTGGTTTCCCTAAACTCTTAAGTCATTACTCATTTTTATTTATGTATATATAGTGTTTGTGTACTTGTATGCAGATTGATAGAACAGATAAGTTTGATAGATTGATACGAACATACCTAACCAAAAGTCTTGGGCTATGAATCTGGGTACTGGAGATAACGGAAATAATAGTGCTGTATACAGATACATTAAAGTGAATTTTATTCTTAAACCGAGAAATTGGTGAGACAGGAAACCTTCTCTCTATCGATGTCTTCCTCGCCTAACACACTGCAGGTTTTGGATATTCTTGACAATGCAATCCACACGTGTTCGGATCTGTGCTGAATGCAGGAGCTGCGTTTTAAAAGAACGCCATTTGCACAAACTTTCACTTACCACAAACTAAAGTTTACAAAGGATCGGCAACGGAGCATTTAGGCAGCCCGTATCATTTAACATAGAAGAAAACACAACCACATTTCTGACAAGGGGAAAACTTAAAGGTGTTTACCTTGTGATCAGCACGTAAGCTAATTATGCCGGGGAGCGATGTGGATAGGGCTTCTTTGTATTGTTGCCCTGGCTGCTTACGCCCCGCCTCTGGTGGCAGCCTTAAACCTGGCGCCTAGCTAAAACAAACGAAAGAAAGCCCCGAGCCTCCACTCAATCCAATTAAGGCGGACTTCAGCCACTCTCTTACGTGTTCATCCAACAAGATCGACGCTGAGACAGCAGTAACAGGGCTTTGTCAAAAAAAAAGATTGCCTTGCCTTCTAATTTTTCCCCCTCCAGCCACAGAACAATGTCGATGAGTCCCAAGCATACGACTCCTTTCTCTGTTTCCGATATCTTGAGTCCCCTTGAGGAGAGCTACAAGAAAGTAAGTATGGAGGGCAACAATTTAGGGGCTCCCCTGACAGCTTACCGGCAACCGCAGGTCTCTCAGGCGGCTATGCAGCAACACCACATGGGGCACAACGGGACTGTGCCCGCTACCTACCACATGGCTGCCGCGGGGGTGCCCCAGCTTTCTCACACTGCCATGGGGGGCTACTGCAACGGCAACTTGGGCAACATGAGCGAGCTTCCGCCTTACCAGGAGACCATGAGAAACAGCACCTCGGCCACCGGGTGGTACGGAGCCAATCCGGATCCGCGCTTTTCTACAAGTAAGTGGAACTCGAGTCTGACTAATTAATATGGGCAGATGATGGAGAGCACCCAGCGCACACCCGGTCAAACTTCGGGAAGGAACCGCTAATAGTATAAAGAAAACTATTTCAACTCATGATAACATCAAAGTGATAAACTCGTTGTATCTGTGGAATGGCAAAACCGAACAAAATGACCTAAATAAAATAGATGGAATTGCGGGTTTCTCTCAGGGAGGTTTGAATGTGACCATTTTGCGCCATTTACATAGTCAGATTTGGTTTTCAAAATGAATCTCAGGAATACGCACTGAACGATTTGTTATCAGTCATATAACGACTGAATCAGTGTTACTCTTAGGAATTTCAGTATTTTATAGTTTGTGAGTCTTTTCGAAAAATGGAAATTGCACCGAGGTACTTAAATTAACAGAGTTGTCACTGATGTACTTCGGTGTTCTTTGTTATTGTGTGTTCTTTCCGTCGTCTTTCTTGCTTTCATCCCTCAGATTTTTGCTGGGAGTTTTTTCCCTGTATACTAAGGCCTATTGCAGCGTTGAATCACATAAAATAACTTATACATGACTGTTTTTCCATTTTAGTTTAATTGTCAGCCAGTAATATGTAGGACACTTATATTTAACACACCGTGTCAAATCATTGATTTCAATGATTCGTTTTTTCAAATTTGTATTATGATAATTGTATTATATCCGATTTTCCAAGTATTCCTTACGTACAAGATTTTGTATTGCCCACAGCGAAAAAGCAGCCGCAATAAACCCTACTGACAAACCTCGTTGTTACTTATCATAACCGACGACTTTGTATGTGAATGTTTTTTTTATTATTATTATGCAAAATGGACTTTCTGTAAACTACAGAAAAGGAGAGAGCATAACGTTTTTTTCTATTTTTTCAAACACAGAATATGAACAGTGCAGACGCAGAAGGGGTGACTGAAACAATTTATTTGTGTGGTCTAGTTTGTTTTTTACTATGGAAACCAACGTTACCGTAGTGGTTGCGAACTTTTATTCTCAGAAACGTTTCTAAACTGTGAGGCGTCTTGGGAGAAAGGCATGGCGTTTTTTTTTCTGTTTTCTTATTTGCTAACGCCTTTCTCTTCTCTCCAGTTTCTCGCTTCATGGGGTCATCTTCCGGAATGAATATGAGTGGCATGGGCAGCCTGGGTTCTTTGGCAGACGTCGGCAAGAGCATGGGCCCACTGCAGAGCACTCCGAGGAGAAAGCGGAGGGTGCTGTTTTCTCAAGCCCAGGTTTACGAGCTAGAGAGACGGTTCAAGCAACAGAAATACCTCTCGGCCCCAGAAAGAGAACACTTGGCCAGCATGATCCACCTCACGCCGACTCAGGTCAAAATCTGGTTCCAGAATCACCGGTACAAGATGAAACGACAAGCCAAAGATAAGGTGAGCCAACAACAGATGCAACAAGACTCCAGCTCGTGCCAGCAGCAGCAGCAGTCTCCCAGAAGAGTAGCTGTGCCAGTGTTAGTCAAGGACGGCAAGCCCTGCCAGGGAGGCACAAATACACCGACCACTGCCATCCAGAGTCATCATCAGCAAGGGAGTAACGTTATGACGGTTTCCACTAGCACCACGGCGATGGGACAGCATCAGAGCCAACAAGCAGGCAGCGCCGGCCATTCTCCAGATTTAGTTCAACATTCCGCCAGCCCCTCGTCTCTTCAGAGCCAGGTGTCCGGTTTGTCTCACCTAAACTCTGCTAGTTCTGAATATGGCACCGCTATGCCTTGCTCCGCTCTGTTGTACGGCAGGACCTGGTGACATAACCCCGCCGCAGACTGTTGTGTAAACTCGGACAGCCATTGCTGCAGTTCCAAAGTCTTTTAAAAAAAGTAAATCCTATTTACTTTCAGTTGGATTTGCAGACGACTAACTGGGTTAAAAAAGGGGGTAACGAGTCAATCAGCAAACTAGAAAGTCCCGTGGAGGTGGGAAGTATTCACATCGCGTTGAATAGGGAAAAGCAATCCCATATTCTTTTATACCAGTTTTAACTATTAGAGCCAACGTGGCCGAGGAAGATGTCATTTAAATACAATTTTGTGTTGGGGAAATAACGAGCGAGTCCATTCCTAAATCAGACGCGTCCTTTGTGTGGGCTATCAAAGACTTTTATAGGGGTAATATAACGTGGCTCCGATTTCTAATAGATTTTAATGTAAAACGTAGCTGTATATTTCTGTAAAAGGTTTGGATTGGATACATAGTTTTTAGTAAACTGTATATTATGTTGTATAAAGTTTTTATCGCCATTGGAAGGTTGCTTGTATTATATTTGAGTTTAACTGTTATTTGACCGCGTACGTTTTATTTTCTTGTAACTTATATAGATATTTGGCATAAATATAGTCATACAAACCTATTAATAAATTATGAAAATAAAATTCATATTCCTTTATTGAACTTGAGCGTAAAGTGGATGTCATTAATGCTCGTTAGAGCACCAGGAAAAAGATACCGCATCAATACACTATTATTAAATGCAATTTATTGGCTGTTCATTCAAATAAAAATTCTGGACAAACATAATAATTTATTTTGACAGCACAGGTGACAAAAATCGAATAATAACTGGCAAGCTGAAATACAAAAATTGCTGCCTTTACCATTGGAAGCTAAAAAATTTTGCGTAGTTGTGGGTTATCGGTGGACTTCTGGAAGAAAATTACTGGCCTTTGGTCTGATAGGACTTAAAAACGCATTTGCCAAAGGTGTGTGCGCGTGTGGGAAAACTAAATATTTGAAAGGGCCCAATGCGGCCGTGGAATGAATTTAATAAATAGTGCAATAGTCCCCCTGTAGTACACGAGCAAAAAGAAAAAAAGTGTATACTCATGTTATTTAAACAGAGCTAGACGTAGGTTTACTATTATAGCTTGCCGTCTAGGGCTGTTCAAAGTCCACAAACAGTAGTGATCATGGATCAGGCTGTAGGGCTCGTCACGAATTCAGATATTATTAAAATGTTGATGTTATGATGGGGATTCGAGTAAATGACAATGGCAATGTCTCTCTTGCGAATACAGCGTTTAGTTGCTCTTTTGTTCGATTCTGTGAAAGGTTATCGTTAGCATGAAAGAAATTCGGTCCGCCGGTGCCAGCTCGTGTAACGAACTCTTCGGCTATTCCTACGTATTATTTATATATTGTAACGCAACGGGGGCTCAGGTCACCTGCTCTGGTACGCCGGCTCTTACACAGTACCTGTCGGCCGTAAGCGTTACAATATATATATCCGACGTTTAGTTTTTTTTCTCCATCTGGATTATGTATTCTTGATCTGAATTGTTTCTCGATGCAAACTGGTGGCGACGTTAGAGATCAAGTCCCAGGTTTTACTTTTATTTCGTGTTTTCACATCTGCAGTAAAGTGAATCATTCACTCATTACAGTAATTAATTAAACAATCATTAATTATTTTTCAGAACGACTCGGAACGCCGTGTTTTACCCGCGAAACATTCCAACAGGTTGACCGTTTTTCTTTGCGAGTACAAACCACCTCTATAATAATATTAATGGGTTATTGTGTACACAGTGTCTTATCTTTGTAGTTTTTAGATTAGGTTAGGTAAACTCCTCTCTCGACTTTTTCGTGGTGGCGGCGTCTCTTTAAGTGTGCGTACCTGCGAATCAGTAAAGGTGAGTTCACCGCTCTTTGGTGCAGGAGAGATCAAATAAACACTATTCAAAAGGCATTTACATATCAATCAAATCCCTGTCCAAACAACCGTATAGCCCTTAAACAACCTCATAAACTATTTTTTGTGCGCTATCGGTTGTCTCTTGTTGGCGGAAATGTGGAAGGGTAAAACACTCAATATATTAAGAAACTGAAAGAAGTCTAAATCTCAACACGCAGGTTGAGAATATTGCAAAAATAATTGCACATGAATTCGGTCTCTAATCCACAGACGCATAAGTATAATCTTTAAATCGGCTCAACGATTCTGGGACGTCAGTTTTGTGTGCGCGTAAAGAATTGATTAAAAGCAACCAGCAATAACTTAGCACATACGTATAAACCACAAAACAAGGATAATGAGAAGGAAAAACCCTCTAACGACTTACAGAATCTGAAATTTAATGGGCTGCCTGAAACGAATTTCTGAAGAAGCCGTCAGTGATATTTTGATCGTGAGGTTGAACTGTTGCTATGTTGTCTATCCCTGACGCTTAGAGACTGAGAGTATTGCTTTCAGAAAAAAAATGTAATAAAAATGCATTTTAATTACAGGTTTGCAGTGGAACAATATTTAAATGTGCTTGTAACTATTTTTAAACAGTATACGCGCATTCAAAGAGCTATAATTGATAGGTGTGAATTATTTATGTATTTAATTCATTAGTAAAATTGTACAGCATGGATTTTGTGTACGTAATTTATTTGTGTTTTAATTATGACGTTTTCACTCTTCCACTGCCAAGAAAGATGTAAACACTGGAAATTAACAATAATACAAACTGATTTTTTTATTTGTAAATAATCTTCATGGTTTAAATCATAATCAAAAAGTATTTCTTAAATTTAAAAGTACAGGCGACCTCTTCGTTAAAGTGTACTAACAATTCCTAATTTAATATGAGCAGTTCGTATTTGTTGTCTTGATGTAGAGAAAAAAGCTCAGCTAATCGGAATTATTAACTGGATGAATCGCCCTTGAAAATCGTTTAAACGGAGGCAGCAGCGATGCATTATTTAGAAAGTGTCTAGGGTCTTGAGCTCTCTAATGGTGTTAAAGTATCATTTACTTACTGTGTGGCGTAATTCTGCGAAGCTTAATTGATGCGAGAATGGTTCGAGCTACTTGAGAAACTAAATCGCACATTTAAAATTAAGTGTGAAAGAGATTATTAATGTTATGATTTGGGTTTCACGCTGATATTTGCTTGACACAACTACGTAGTTACTAGTGCGGCAGCTCAGTTCTCACAAGTCCGCGGAATTAACTGCTCAACTCTATGTAAGACGAGAAACAAATTCCATAAATTCTGTCGTTTATGTTGAGCGCCTGATTTATCAGCTAGAAACTGCATGTTTAGTAGAAATTTATCGATATCTACCTAAAGGAAATACAGTAGCTCATGGTTTTTAGATTGTGATTTTATTGAGGTTTTATTTTTTTGCACCTTCCAGAAGAAGGCAAATACGTGTTTAAGAAAGGAAACCTTATGAAAGGTTCAAACCGATACCAGTGTGCACTATTGATCACAGAAGTTAACCATAAGTCAAAACACGGTTTTTAATGTATCAACCGAAGGTCCTTTTAGGATTAACTGTAAGAAAATAATTATGATTTTACATACAAGTACATAACACTGTTTAGAAAATCTTTATCATACGTTATTTTATTAACATACACCATTATAATTGTGAAACGTGCATCCACGTTTAGGCTGTATTTGAATAAATAATCATCTGTTTAGAAACAGGGAGCATCATCTACGGTTCGCATATGAAAATTCTGTTCCAGCACTAGACCTGGAGAACAATGAGGCAATATTGTCACGCAATATTTGAAACACAATGTATTTCCTTAAACGTAATATTTAGCCATTCGTTTTACAAAAACATATTTTAAAATACTGCCACGTATATCATATGTCATCCTGTAAAGTCGGAGCAAAGTAAATCTATCGAAATACCCGATTAGGTAATGTTAGACAAGAATCAAAAGTGTTCATGAAGATTAAGGTTCATTTCCGTTGTTATTGACCTAAGTGTTTTCTTTCTGTATCAATTTCAATTGCCTCACATTATTCGCAGCCCTTTTCGGATTTATCAAAAGTGTATGTGTTTATACATATAGATGCAATTTGCGTACCAAATTATCATTGTTCCTATTACAGGCCAGACCAATGAACATTTTAAGAACATTTCAATAGATGTTTAGTTTTAGGAGAGAGCAGGATAGGACTGTCATGACGTTATCATTAGTACAGAAATAGTCAATAAAACGGACGCGTCGTCTTGTAAATTATTTCCTATAGAATTGAAAATCAAGATGTTTGAAATAGTTACTTGAGATACAAACGAGGACGCTGAATTATATGTGGTCCTTAGTCCGCTGTCGAAATTTTGCCAGAATGTCCAACAGAATGTAGGCAATTATTTAATCCCATGGAGCCTGTCGGTGTTACTTCCAGTCACATATGTCCTTTGATATTAAAGTTCAAAATACACTAAAGAAACCTAAAGAAGATGAATCATTTAAGATGACTGTTCATGGATAATGTCGTTACTATGCGCTGCATTGTACAATAGTGGTAAAATAAATTAATATTTTCTAAATATTTTATCTCCACATTAATTGCTCGCTTTTGGTTTAAAATGTCCAATAAATTATAACTAAAGGCTTGCTATGTATTTACGAGTGCGATACGCCGTGTTTATATATACTGTATAACATTCATGTATATTAAATACCAAGTAATGGTGACAAGGGCACGTCATGGCTTTTGATGTTAGTACGATTTCTTTTTTTTTATTCTGTCAATGGCGAGACATAAACGACGATAAAAGAGATGGGGCACCAATTACTTTTTTTATTAATTTATCTTTTGTGTCACCGTGGTATCGTGCGATCGGTTGGCGTTTTCTTCGGTATGATTACCTAGCAAATAATGTCAATTACGAAAGTCCCACATCGGAAAGTGGCTCCAGTGAACTGGACTTGGTCACGTCAGAGACTCCGGTCCTTTTTCAGTGACTCCATGGCAGCCTTCCATTGGGATTGAGGGCACACAAGTAGACTCCCGTTTCCATTTCCACCATTATGTTTCTGCGGGCTCTGGAGTTGCACCGCTTTCCGTGTTTACATAAAGCCTCATATATCCAGATACATACATACCTTGATCTTGAATTAAAAACATGTGTCCGTTGAAGTAATGAACCTTCACAGCCTGTATACGACGATTAAAATGTGGCGATTAGCTGCATCTGAAGTCCTACTCCTTATTCGTTGCTTTCCTCCGGTATATAACCTACAGTGAAGTGCTGTGAATTTAATAAGGGCCCTGATTATAATGGCTGTGTCTTAGGGTTAAGAGTTGTTCAATCAGTATTACCTTTGTCAAATTATTCTTTAAAAAGCACATTGCCATTGCGTCGTTTGTTTCAGTATTGAAAAAAATATATACATACGTGTATTTGCCTGTGTATCCACGGGTCTATAAGGTATATACAGGATATATAACATGATTATGATATAGAGCTAATTACAAGTTCAGAATTCACCTGTTCCTCCATTTAGGGATCTTATTAAAATCCTGCTTTAAGCAAACGTCTGGTTGTATTAGCAAGTCATTTATTTTTTTGATTTTGCGATTGTCTTGCTTTT